GAGAATGACTTGACGTACAAACACTCGTGCTCCAATATAAACAATCTGATGATATGGTTCATAATAAATAATCCCTTTGATTTAAGTGTATGATGATGCTGCGTCGGGCACTTAACTTCCACATCTGATACGTCTTGCAGATAATTAACAATTATTCACCGAAGTGTAGGTGGTTAGTGGTGGATATTTACCAAGTCACGAAGCGGCGAGGTAAACATCCATCTCCAGCCACCGTCTCTGAGCTGAAAAGTTCTTATAACACATCATTTATTCCTGTAACGATTACTTTTTTTTCGGGGTGCAAATCCAGCGCGAATTGCTGAGAGGTGAATAGCAAAGGAGTTTGAATAGCCAATCAGAGCGCGCCTTTAACGCTATCCACTGTTTCAGTAGACACTAATGAAAGATATCAGAGAGGTCGTGGATGAATAGAATTGGATAATATTATATTGACAGGAAGAAAACAGAGGTGAAATTCTTTTTGGAGCCAATTTTTGTAGAGAACTGTTCCTCTGACAATTAAGATATTCCCATGATCAATAACAGATTCTATTTCTTTAACAACTCCTAGGAATGAAGGACATGTACGAACAAGTGTTGAAGTATGGCGCCTATATTGTCGACGCACTGCGAGAATATGAACAGCCAGTGTTTATTTACCTCCCTCCAAATGGAGAACTTCGGGGAGGAGCATGGGTCGTAGTGGATCCAACAATCAACCCTGATATGATGGAGATGTACGCTGACCAAGAAAGCAGGTAAGATGACCTTGAAAACTCGTATAAAATAACATTGCTATGCTTTAACTTTTTCTTACGGCAACTGTATACACTGAGTCAAATTACGAGCCACAAGGCTTATACCGTTAGTGCTTTTACCCCGGGTTCATTGGCATGAGGCGACTTGGGTTATACTTCGACCTTGCATTTCTGAAATTTTCCCTGAACAGTTTCTAGTATCCATTTAAACTACTGGGTGGAGATAGGCACTGACAGAGGAAAGGGTCTTTCCAAATAACACAACACACTGACCCGATCAAGTTTCAAACTCACTTCTTACCGCTTTCCGGCCAACAGGAGTACATAATACGCTTTTTCTAGTGAATTTCTATCGACAGAAAGGTATCAAATTATTAATATTTTGCTCCTGCGGCCTGCACTCTGAGAAAAAAGATATATAAAACTACAACGCAATGCTTCAGACGAAAGGCTTGAAATACTTCTTCGACGGGTGGTAAATAGATTCATGGCCAGGACCTTTTATATATGTACGCAATGAGAACAGAACACACAAGACACTCTGTTTTATCTTTTTCGTCTCGCAGAGGTGGAGTACTTGAACCTGCCGGTACAGTGGAAATCAAGTTCCGACGTAAGGATCTTGTAAAAGCCATGCACAGATTGGATGCCAAAT